GATTCCCGATTCGACCGCCGCGGACGAGGAGGTCGCCCCCGCCTGAAGTACTTAGTGAAGTGGGCTGGCTACGACGAGCCAACTGAGGTCCCCGCCAGCCACCTAGAAAATGCCCAAGAGATCGTCAACAACTTCCACCGCCGTTACCCTGCCAAGCCAAGGTAATCGCGTCGACAGAGCTCCGCCTAGAGAGGGGAGTACTGTCACGGCGCTGGCTGAGTGGCCGGCGCGCGATCGTCTGATTGGCTGCCGACAGAATCCGGGTGAGGGTCCGAGCACCCGGATTCTGCAAAACCGCCGCAACTTCACTAGTGTAGCTCTTCGAGCTACGTCCTGTCTTCTACTCTATACTACCTGTAGTGAGAGCCTGTTGATTAGCTGTAGCAATAGAACCTGTACACGCGCCTGTCCTCTCTGCCCGTGAGCCCGTACCGTGACAATAAAACTCTATAACCTCTAAATAGAGTTCGCGAGTTATACCTTTATATTTAATAGTAAGTACTATTAAAGATATTATAATCTCTCTAATTGTCTAACCTAGATCTCTACTCTATATAACGTACTTAAAAAGATACGCTTAGCCTCTATACTGTTACACGGGGTAAGGGTCTATACTTCTCTATCCTGGTCCGTGTAACGGTTCGAGTACACACTGAACTAACATCCGAAAGGGATCCGAACATGGGCACGCACTAGCCGAGGGCAGATCTGCTGATATAAAACCCCACCTTCTCCATACCGTAGCTCGATAGATTTTTGATATCCTTTCGTACAAGGCCTATAGGTGTCTATTCGAATTAAGGCTCGTTTGATGTCCCACGCACTCCCATATGCCTCTGAGTGACACTACCGCCGATACTGATCCGAGTAGTCTTGCCTGCGCCGTTACAAAAGATAGTAACTCTAGAAAAGTACGAAGAGAGTTGCACTAAGTTATAAACATTTCTTACTAATATTAACTTATACTACGAATTTAACGAAGTACCTAATAACTAGGAGAAGATTCTTATAGCTAGCACTTATATAAAGAGATAAGCGTTAAGCTAGATGCAGCTATACGTAGAGAACTACCTATTAGATATTAAAAAAAGAGGAACAAAGGACGAGACGCGTGCCTTATTCACTAGTTAGGCTAAATTTAAGAAAGAGATAGGATATATCTTTAGAGAAGTAGATGCTTAGAACTAGGTAGAGAAAGCGATAACTCGCCTAAAGTAGACTAGTTTAGTATTAGCGTATATAGCTAAGTTTAAGCAGCTATAAGTACGAATTAACTAGAACGACGCAGTACTTTAAACGGTGTTTAAAGTAGGTTTAAAGAAAATTATTAAAGATAGACTTATATATTACGATAAACTAAATACGCTTTACGTGCTAATTAAGTTAGTAATACGTATTAATAATAGACTATAGGAAAGAAACTGATAAAGAAAATAATTCTAGCTAGTAATAGCTAATATAAGGAAACAGTATAGCTAGTTCGATAGAGATAGTAACACTATTATAACTAGTAAGGTATAAGATAAGTCTAAGGATAAGAATAGAAAACTCTAAGAATAGTATAATAATAGACTTTCTATAGAAGAACGTAAGAAGCGTTATAATAGTAAGGTATGTCTCTAATGCGGTAAAGTAGAATACTTCCGTAGAGATTACCTAAAAAGCGAAGTTAAATAAGGAGCGGTTAAGATTAGAATAATTCGGATACTAATACTATACCTAACTAAGAAGCTAGACGAAACCCTTAGCGACCTAGACCTATATAAAGAAGTAAGATAAGCTACTAATAAGGCCTTTAAGCTAGTATAAGAGGTAATAGAACTCTAAGACTTTAAGTAGGACGTACTACTACTAATAGATTAGTAGGTTAAAGGGGTAGAAGTACTACGCCGCCTAAGAAACTAACAGTGCTGGATTTATAGAACTAATATATACTAAGCTAATAATTATAATATTAATAGACGAGTTATAATCTTAGGATCTTAAGTAGATAAGATTACCTATAGGGCTGCCTAGAAATAATCTAGGTTTAAGGAACCTAATAACGAGAAGACACCTTAGACGTTTAAGGAACGAATAAAGTAATATAAGCGCCTATATTAGGTTAACTACCTAAGATAGTGCGATTACTACTTAAGGAAGCGAGAAGAGACTAGAGACAACAAGGATAATTGCTGCCACACTAATCTATAGTATAATAAGTGTTAAGTGCGATATTACTATATATACTAGCCTAGAGAAAAGGAAGCTTACGAAGAGCTATACTGGATTAAGTGCACGATTGATTGCTAATTCTATAAGGAATAGCGATAGAAAGCTAGAAGGGTAGACGACTACTACTATAGCACGATTTCCGCAGAAGAATGTATAGTAAAGAACTATAGAATGCATAGGGCCTAAGTACAGGAAACGCTAGTTAAGTACCGTAAACTCCTATAGATGCATTGTAGGAAAGGTTACGCTATACACTAATAATAGTTTAAGAATACTTAATAGATAGATAACTACTACTATAGCACTCTACTAGCGAATATTTATAAGGTAAAGGATTGCCTAATTTATAAAAGTAGGAAGCTAGAACTAAGAAAGAGGACTACGTAACGGAAGATACCTTATAAGAATATTTATTAGAGCTTTTGCTATAACGACTAGTATACAATATACTATTCTACTAAGATAGGCGAAGGCTACTTTCTAAAGAAGAAGGGAAGTAGGTAGTTAAAAAACTAGGATGCTACTAGGGATAGGGTCACGCTGGTAGAGGCAGTCTTAAAACGACTCTTAAGTAAGTATAGGAAGTAGGAGTAAAAGAGTTATAATTAAAAGCTATAGTACTTATAGACAGACATAAGGTATTAGCGCTTATAGATAGTAGGGTAGCACGAACCGTTATATCTCTACGAGTAGTGGAAGAAAATAACATACTCTATTAGAATAAGAAGGTACTAATACGAGTAGTATTAGCTAACGACAGTCCTATAATATACGGGAACGGCTAGATTCAACTTAAGACTAAGGCAGTAATATTACGCCTAGCTGGTTAAGAAAGCTAAGAAAAGATTAGTATTATAGATCTTAGAGAGACTAAGATAATAATTAGCTATAATTAGTTATTAAAGCACAACCCTGCTATTAATTAGTAAAAGAAGATATTACTTAGCTAAGAGCCTATATATAAGGTTGTTAGAGTACGATATAAGACACGCCCGACGAATTAGCGCGTAACCTAGGATAGGAGATTTAGTATAATCTCACCGCATAAGATCGCGAGAATCTATGCGAAGGACTCTTAGAGAGTAGGAGTTATTTAAATACGGTAGATCGCGACTACGAAGGAAGGATTAGTACCATAGTTGGCGATTCTAATAGAATACTAAATAGACGAGTTTAGAGAACTGTTTAAGGAAAATAAGGCAACAGACCTAGCAGACTATTAGAATTAGGATCACGAGATCATTCTTAATAAAGGAGCTAAGTTAAGCCTAGGACTAATGTACCCTATAGCGCCTGAGTATAATGCTAAGCTGTAGGATTATATCTAAAAGAACTTAAAAAAGGGATTTATCCGACCGGGATCAGGCCCGATGGCCTCATCTATCTTATTCGTAAAGAAACCTAACGGGAAGTGGCGACTATGTATTGACTTCAGAAGGTTGAACAGCGTAACTTGGAAGAACTGATATTCCTTGCCACTCATTACAGAACTTATGGATTGACTCTAGAGAGCTAAGTAGTTTACGAAGTTCGACGTTTGGGAAGGATTTTACCGAATTAGAATTAAAGAAGGTTATGAGTGGATGATAGCGTTTAAAACGAAGTAACGTGCTGGATAAGCGAGTTGGCCAGGCAAGCGAGTTGGCCACCCCACCAAGTTTGCGCATCTTTATGAACGTATATCTCAACAACGCAATATTATAATATATAGAGAGTAATAGAGTGGACTAAGTAGTATCTAGAGTATCTTTTTTGCATGTACGCGAATTATGACCAGTCTCTCTACACCTGCTACACCGCGCTAGAGCCTGGCGGCTAACACCTGATCGCTCCCCTCCTTGACGCTCTTCATGAGCAATCTGCTGATCAGCCTCGCGCTGAGCGAGTAGATCCTCGCCGGCTCCCTTTGTAAGGACTCCACGCTTCTGTATCCGCTTTTTCTTACGTTTTCTACGCTCTAATACTGCTGTATTAGCTTTCTCGAGGCTGGCTATCCGATCCCGCATCAGCTCAGCTAAGAGTATCATTACCTCAGCT